ATTAGCCATTGTGTTTCACACCCAATAGAGAGCAGACAATATGATCTCAGACAAACTCAATAATATTGAGGCCTAGGACTGCAGAGAAACCTAGGCTAGCAGAGAGCCCCGGTGAGAGCGAGGAATAAAACTGAGTCAGTCATAAGTGATAATCAATTTGGGCCGTTATGTAGAGAATCAAAGTGGTAAACACTCATGTGATGAAGGAAATGGATCTTCAGATTTAGAGTATCGGATGTGAAGCTGGAGTTCCTACTGTATTCTTACATATATGTATGTGCTGGAAAATTTACTTCTTTGAGCTCAAACTACAGGAGACATGATTGAACTTTGGCCCTTCCTGCTGTGGTCCAAAATCTAACAGGACATTTTTGTAGAAAACTTGCTTTAGAAAACTGTTCAGGAATATCACCTGCTAAGGTCTATCTCTCAACCATCTAGTTACAGTAGACCTGTATCATATTCTTATTACTATTTCACACACAAGTTAGTGTCCTTCAACATTGGTAAATCCCCAATTGTACTCTCCTCAAATATTGTTTCTGTCCCATTTTCCACTTCTTTTTCTTTAGGTTAAATTACAAGTAAGATATGATTTTTGAGGTAGGTTACATATGTCTTTTACAGTATTTTCTCTATTTTCACCTGTTTGTCTCTCTGTGCTTTAATTTCAGAATTTCCGTCTGTCCCATTGTTCAATTTGCCAATTGCTCTGTGAAAAACTCATCTATCAAGGTTTTCAAATTTTTTACTGTTATAGGGTTCAAAATTTTGACTGAGTTTTATTATGTTGTTTTCAGTTTTAACCAAAATTCTGAATCTTATCTTTCCTTCTTTAAATGTAATTATTTCTTGAAAAGAAAATGTTTGTCTTTCCTACTGTTAAATTTCTCAGACAGGTACAGCTATGAGTCATTTAATGATGGGCACACTTTCAGAGAAATGCATACTTATTTGATAACACCCTTGCACAGTATGAGAAGGTTTACATACACAACAAATAGGACCATGAGACTATGCAATACAAACTCATGAAACTACCATTAGATATGCTGTTTGTCATTGACTGAAATATTGCTACATGATATGTGACTGGATGTCAATGTCATGTGGATTATATAGGCCTGTGATTCAGAGTCTATATTCTAGTGTTCTCTTCTGATTCAGTCTCATCTTCATATAATCTTCTATATTTTTGAGAGAATAATAGCCACTTATGAGGAAAAATGTATTATTTTACCTTCCTGTATAGATAATATACTTTTGTTTCTGACAGACCGCTAGAATAAAGGCACCAGTATCTTAAATCAATTTAATCCAATGAGGCATTGATGTAATTTAAACCCAGGATTCAGTCCTTATAAGAAGCTATCTATTAGAAATTCAATTTTACTTCTAAGAATTGGCACTTTAAGGTCTGGGATATTTCCCAGAGCCTAACTTTTGATAGGTCCTGATTTCTAATTTTATTCCTGTGGTCCTATGAGTTTCTGAAAATTCTCTTCATTTTCAAAATCACCATATAACTTTATGGAAATTGCAGCTCAGGGTGAAGGCTCATTTCTTTACCTCATTTTTGGCTTAGAAAGCATCTTTGTAACCCTGTGGTACTTTGTTATTTCTCTGTGTGTGAGTTTATATGTATATATGTATGTATACATGTATGTATATACACACATATAAACCTATGTATATGTAAATATAGAAATATAGGTTAATAGAGAGCTATATATTGCTATTATGCATGTATATATACATATACATAGTTGTATGTGTTTTATTGGGATCAGAAGAAATAGTTCAATATTATAAGCAATGTATAATTGATATTTTTATATAAATTTTGAAAGATTTATTAATTTTTAAAAATATATAGGAATGACTCCAATAACTAAGTAGTTTCCATGAGGAGAACCATTTTTAAGTCTTTTCCATTAGCTTATATATATCACAGTAGATGACACCTGTCAAAACTTACCAAATTCACATTCTGGAGTTCTGAGTATCTAGCCTGTCTTTCTAAATCTGTCTGTCATTTTTATATCATACCCATCTACCTTCTACAGTGCCCCCATGTGCTTTTAACTCATGTTTTCACACTGTTCTGCTTTTCCTTCCCATTTTATCCTTCTAGATGTTATCTTATTTCCTTCCATCTATGTTGTATCTATCTATCCTGTTCAAAATGGCATCCTCCCCAATAGCATCTGTCAACACCCTGTGATATTCCATGGGTAATCATATGTACGTTCTAAACAGTAACTACTGGGAGCCACTATACAATTCCACCAGGAGAGGTTTTCACTTCTGCAAGGTATGTTGGCTAAGCCCCTGCAAGGGGTTCTCCACTACAATGGAGCTCCAGATGCCCATGGTAGTAGTTGGCTGAATAATGCTTCCTGCCTTGTTTTCCTCCCATTCCCTGGCACATTTTCCCTCGCTATAGGTATTTATTGGGATTGCCTCCCAAATAAATAGCTTGTCTTTGAATCTAGGTTTACAACCATTTTTGAACAATTTATAGAATAAAATCATACTCAGATACCTCATTGATATGTTTATTGGGTAACTTTTAATGTTTCCCCACCTTATAAAATTTTAGTATAAAGGTCCCTAGGGAAAATATAAAAGTTATATTGCAAGGAGAAATGTACTTTATTCCGTATTGGTTGTGAAACATTTAAGAAAAAAAAAAACGCAAGGTATCTTTCTTGGTATATTTGAGAGTGTGGACTTCAAAAACTCTAATTCAATACTAAATAATAATAAAAACATATTTTTGGCTAATAACTACTAACATGTAATGATTACTGAGAAACTATATTTTAAGTATTAGGCTGTGAGGTTCTAATCTAAATTATTGATAAAAACAAGATCCCCATCATGTTAAAGTGGGCTGACTACTAATTTAGAGATGAAAAGTAGGGAGGTAACAAAATTGTAACTTTCAGCTTTGACTGGGACTCTACTGGAAGCACTCCACAAACATCTAAAAGCATTTTATCTATAGAGAACTGATGGGACCATAAAAATGGACAGATCAGAAGCCTCGGGATATATAGCCCTGAGTCATAAATTTAATGTGAAATACAATAAGTTTTGATTATTGATGAATAATTCAAACAACAGTGATAGAGTTCTATATCATACAGAATAAATACTGAAATCTCTGCGATGAATTTATTTCAAAGGCAGGAAATTTCCTAATTTTTATCTCAAGACAATGTGGACAAAGATTGAGAGACTTAGAGACAAAGGAGAGGGAAGAGTCCCTCTCTTTGGGGTAATTAGTTCAGAGAAGAGTCCTTGACCAAGGATCCTGGAGAAACTAAAAAAAACAAAAAAACAAAAAACAAACAAACAAAAAAAGCTAGATTTACCAGTTTTGCCTAACAAACTCAATCACATGTGTCTTCAAGATTATTTTACCAAGTTGTATTTGAAACAACAAAATCCAAAATGGGCAAGGAATTGTGTCCACAGCATCATACTGATGGGACACTTCACCTACTTACTGAGGCACAAAATAAGGAGACAGGACCTCTGTTTTTGAAAAACAGAAAATTGTCACATAATAGCTATTTGAAAGGGGGTATGTACTTCTTTCCTCATCTTTCTTCTCGAAGGTCAACATTGTATTTTTTTAATATTGCCATACATTTGACATTTTAAACATTTATTTCATTAGATTTTAGTAGAAAATGAAATATGAAAATGTTTCCATCAATTATGACAGTACACTTCTTTTGGTCTTGAATTTAATTTAATTAAGTTGTGCTTTACCTTAGAATATTTTCTCAATGAAAATAGAAGCATCTGATAATGCTCTAAGAATATGATTAATGTTTCAAACTTTGTTTCAACTTTGAATCTACACTTCCCCTGAGGTAAATCAACCAACACACCATAAAAATAACCAACCAAGAAACAAAAATAAGAAAACAAATCAAACTTAAACAGAGAAAAGGGAAAAAAATAAGCAAAGAAAAGACAAAGAATGGAGAAGTGATGAGAGAGAGAGAGAATAAAAAAATATTCAGAGAAATATTCATCTCTTCTGCAAAGGAAAAGAGAACAGGGAAAGAAACTGCAAAATTAGAGAGAGAAAAACACAAGGTTCACCTGGCCACACAGGTGGCAGACGCTCATTGGAAACTCTCACTTTGATAGGCTAGACACATCCTAAAGGGGTATAAGAATAAATGCCAATGACAAAAAGAAAATATATCCAAATTCCAAAAACATGCTTATTTTTCAAAGTTTTGTTTATGGAGACATTGGAACAAGATAAAATGCAACAGAAAAACAATCTGAAATTCCTGTAATTCAGGAAATGTTTTAATTCTGTCCTTCATGGTTACCTTTTCTTTATGTATATATCAAGATCTTTTTCAAGTCTCTAGACTTCTCTGTCAGTCTCTTTCTTTCCTTTCTACTTTTTGCTCTCTTCAATGATTGTGAGACACATTATGTAATTGTAGTGCTTGGTGTAATAATTTTATACCACTACCATAAATTAATTTTGAAGAATGAAAATGCATGGTGACAAAGTGGATTGCTTGGATAAAAGCTCCCATCAAGATGGAAACTGATCAATCATAATAGAAAAATTAATATTATCTTATTCTTCAGTTTTCAGGAAAAAGAATCCCATTAGCAAAGTCCAATGTGGACACACAGGAAACAAGGAAGGAACATAATACAGTGCATTATGAAGGGCTTCCCTGACCATGATGAACTAGGCATCAATATAAAGTAGTCATAGTATTTCTGACATAGGAAGAGTTCTCTGGATTTCCCGGTAACAAAAGATTTATAGAACCCATAAATATACTATGTAAAAAATTATTTCAATGTAACTACAATTAGGAAGAGATTAGTACATTAAGCATTTGTAAATGACAGAGCAGAAATACATCAAGGATGACAGTGTTGGGCACCACGCCTGTTTCTAAGGGTATATAAATGCTCCTGTCCAGCAGGTGACATCAAAATCAAAACCTTCTCAGTTATACTCAGCTGAGCTCACACCTCCTGTCAACATGACCTATGGCTGCTCCTCTGGAAACTTCTCCTCCCGCTCCGTTGGAGGCTACCTGCAGTACCCAGGCTCCTCCTGTGGCTCTTCCTACCCCAGCAACCTGGTCTACCGCACCGATCTCTGGTCTCCCACCAACTATCAGCTGGGCTCCTCTCTCTCCAGACGCTATCAGGAGACCTGCTGTGAGCCCATCAGCTGCCAGAGGCCCTGTGTGGTGTCCAGGCCCTGCCAGACGTCCTGCTACTGGCCCAGGGTCTCCACGCTCTGCAGTCCCTGCCAGATTACTTACTCTGGATCTCTGGGCTTCGGGTCCAGCAGCTGCCGCTCCCTGGGGTATGGGTCAAGGAGCTGCTACTCACTGGGCTGTGGCTCCAGTGGCTTCAGACCTCTGGATTATGGAATTCATGTCTTTCCTTCCCTTGGTTATGGATCTGGGTTCTGCCTCCCATCTTTCTTAACTTCTAGAACCCTCCAGTCTTCTTGTTACCGACCAACCTGTGGCTCTGGCTTCTATGGAATCACTTGTTAAGCACCCGTATTTCTTAGTATTGTGCTCAAAGTTTATACTCAATATTTCCTCTGTTTTCCTTCCTACCACTTACAGTATCTTTTTATTCTTTCCTCAACAGCTTTTTAATTTTCGTCCAAAAAATTGAAAATTAAAATTTCATCTAATAAAATTACATAATCTAGCAATTAAATATGTTGTTCATATTATTATTTCTTGGTAGTAGCATTATATTATCATGATCAATGGGGTTCTGTATCTACGTATTGGGAACATACAATTTGTTTGATTTCAGCAAATATCTGTTGGTATTGGACATGTTCTTTGCCAGGTGTAATAATTTCTTGTATAAGCATCACTTGCATGTGCACAGTCATTTCAATAACAATGAAATTTACCTGAGACTGAAGGGCATGCATTTCCGTAGACAAAGAAATTGTTAATATGGACACTAGAAATGGGAACAATGCCATATAATGTATAAGGTGAGCTGAATACTTAAACAGATAGTTACCAAGATCTAGGATTTGAAGGTTGTAGGTTTTCAGTCAAGAGAAAACTAAAATAGACTCTTTACTCTTCACTGGTTTACCTAATTGCCAGAATCCCTGTCTCCCACAGCTGTGGTATTCCTAAACGTCATCTCCAAACATCTGCACAGAGAATCTCAAGAATCTAAGATGGAATTAATTAGCTTTATGTTGTGTGTAGCTTTTCGATGAGGTAACCTCATGATGCTTCTTCAGGCACAAGTTCAATGAAGCTAAGAGTAGCACACCTGAGCGCTATCAAACAAACCTTTTTAATCATCAGTATAAGTCTAGATCCTAAAGCAGAACTAAAATCAAAGACTTGGATGCAGAACTAAAAGTCAAAGATGAATACAGTTTATTTAACACAAGATCCCAGGAAGCAAATATGAGACCATAGAAGGGGAAAGAATCAAAGAGAAAATGTAACAAAAGGGTATATAGTTTTAGTTGATTTTATAATGAGCAGCTGAAATGCAATTCTGCAGGGAGTTTGTAGGAGCACACAGAATGATTTGTAATTGTCCATTCCCAGATCTGATCAACAGCAACAAGCATTTCTTCATTAGCTTCTATCTTTCATTCTTTGAACAATGTCTAAGATGTGTAATTTTCTGCAACTTCAAAACTCTGCAAGGGAAGAATTGGGGTGGGATCGTTCTTTTTTCGAGTGTGATCTCTCAGATACCCAGGCACATAGTAAAAGAAGTGTTGTATATACTTTGGAGAATGCTGTTCACACAGCAGTGGTTGTAACCTACATAAAATTGCCATAGCCTTTCCTTGGATCACCACCAGCAGCACTCAAGATATACAATTTTCAGTCAACATTAAACCATCCCTCTAAAACCAGCAAAGATGATAAACTATGGGCATTTACAGAAATGAGGAAAAGCAGACTTAAAAAGGATTAGAAAATTTCCAAAGTTTTTACTAAGAACTTAGCAGAATCTGATCTCCTATGAGAATCTTGTCCTGTTGGTCTTTCCTGAACTTTTTATTTATTTATTCTTAATATACAATGGCTATTCTTTGTTTCTGGTCCCATGGAAGTTGCTTCTCCTAGACAATATTATTATTGTATGTATTTCATTAGCCTAAGGTATTTTTCATGAGGATCATGCACAATAAAGAGTAAAAATAAAAATAAATTTAGCCTAAGGGCAAGAGCTCCAAGAATGTTAACATAATTTATGTTACAAACATTTGTGTTAATTATTATACCAAATGATGGAGAAACCGTGTGCTGTGAAAAATTTATATTATTCATTTAAATTATCATTATTAGTGTTGTTTAGCCTATTTGGGTTTACTACCCAAGATGGTAGATATTGTGCCCTTTAAAAAATAATATTGAAAAACATGAACGCGAAGAGTGAAACTGCCAAACTTTAGTGACATCTCACTAATACTATAAACCAGACCCCATTCTGGAGGGGAGTGGGGCCAGCCAGGGAAAATCATGGAACAATCTTGAAGTAAATACTGCAATGGAGTGTAGAAATAGAACAGGGCGTGAGAAAAAGATCTACCGTGGAAGAACATACAATTTAAGCAAATGAAGAAAGCTCTAGAAAAATGCTTTGCTTTATCATATAACTTAATAATGACTTAAAGTCAACAAAATGAGGCCTTAAGGATAATAACAAAATCAGTGGAAATGAAAGTCCTGATTGACAAAGTAAGGAAGAACATTGATTGCTAGCATAATTTAGAATGCCATACAATTGTTTTTATTTTACCCTTTTTTATTTAACATTTTTAAAATGATGTTTTTCATATCAATTGGAAGACCATGGAGATTAATTTGAATAATACAGTAATGGGTCACATATTTAACACAATTGTGAATTTATTTCTTCATAGAATTATTATAGTCGTTACTGTGATATCAACCTTCAACAAAAGGATGTGATTCCTACTGTTACCAAAACAACAAATAATTGTATTCTCAGTGTTGAACTTTTATTTTAAAAAAATGTTACATTAGAACTGTCAAAAAAATTCACAACTTTTTGTAGCTTTGTTTGATTTCTCTGGACCAAGTAAAATCATCAAATCATTGGAGTTGATTTTATATTTGAAGATTTGGCAATTCTGATACAAAACTAACTTTATTTTACTCTTAGTGAGAAGATTTTCAATGTTAATAGAATATCATTACTACTGCATCTATTGCTTCTTTTTTTTGTACATGCACAAGAAAACTTAGGAGTTAACATGAATAAAAATGATTTAAAACTATTCCTTAACCTAAATGAAAAATTGTGGGTCAGAGTGATACAGAAATATATCTTTTTGAAACTGCTAATTATAAATAATTATTATTTGTATATAATTATTTATATATAACACAAAATATTTATATTTTATATATAACATATAAATATGTGATATATTTATATAAAATAATGATTATAATTATTTATAATATAAATATTATATTTTGGAAGCAATTCTTTATGACCTTTCTTTGAGGTAGATACTGCTATGTCTTCAGTAAAATTTATCGTTTTCATGTGTTTAGTGGTATCATGTACATACTATCATGTGAATAATAAATGTCGCTGAATAGCTATATGGATTATGTACTCACCATCAATTTGCTTTAGTAGCAGTACTCAATTTTTTTCTTTTTGCAATACAAATGAACTTTCCTTTTTCGTGTATTGTTTATAAAAGGATAGCTTTTTACAAAATAAAAAAATTATTGCTACCAAACAAAAAACCCCAATAAATTATTTAAACAATAAAATATATTCCCAAATCACTGTGAAAAGAGCATTTAGATCATTCTTTCTATTCTCTGAGGCAACAGACTTTCACTCCTGTGTTCCATGTATCCCTAACCAGTAATTCTCAAGTTTCCCACTACCTCCACCTACTGGTAGCTCGGCGAACATTGCCGCGTCCTGCTGGGGGTGAAACTGGCCAGAGCATTACTGGCTATGTTAGAAAAAAGGAGCCTCCACAAGGGTCACTTGTTTACAGTGTAGGTTCTCCTATACCTTGTATTTGAGTGTCACTTCTTTTACATGAGCTCTCTGTATATTGTCTTTGAAAGAAACGTGACAGTTGTGTTTTTACAGGGAAGGTGATAAAAAGCTGGGATGTTTTTTCTTCTCTAGGCTTTAACAATGGTTTAAAGTAAAATATTGTCACTGTTCAAGCATCTTCTGTTCTACTAGATGAATCCACAGTGCAAGTAAAGTGGAGGTCCCTGAAAACAATCATCATTTACAGGCAGTGACTGATTACATCTAAAGAGTACAACTCTGAGGCTGCTGCCACATGAAACTGGGTGTTGAAACAAAACAGAATACATCAAGACATATGGTGACCCTGAGAGTAAGAATCTAAATCATCTCTGCCTTTAATGGTGTTATCCCTGACGTGTAAAATATTTGGGCCATAACTGAATATTCGTGTATTATTCACTGCCTGGATATTTAACTGAATCTTACAATAAGAGAATATTTACATTGACCTTGAAAAGTTTTTGTTTTTCTTTCAAACTAGTGCTAGTAACCAAGCAATGAGAAAAACAAGAGAAAATTTAGACTTCATCAAATTTATAGAACAATTATATTGAAACTGTTTGAGCTGCTTGCTAATGAATCTGTTAGAGATTTTATGTAGAGACTTAAATTTTTATCTGATAGGAAAACTAGGAAAACTGAACTCTTCCCCAGATTAAACCTACTAATATCCAGCTTCTTACTGGGTGTTCACACTTCAATTCTTCATATATTTCAAGAGTGGGATTTTCCTTCAAAACTACTGTCATGTAGTCTATTTAATATTTCTTATAAATTATAACCATTTTACATTTTATGTAATGTTTACAACTGTGTAATAGATAGCTACTATTTAAAGTTCATTGGTTGTCTTAAAAATGTGTACTCTTTATGTTATGTGAATTAACAAAAAGATGAAAACATTTCTTCAAATCAAAAAAATGATTTCACTCTTCTTAGGTTAAATTTTTTAATGATAATCACAAGATACATAAAATCTCAGCCAGATATTTATAAATAGTTTGGAAGAAAAAAAGTATAGTAAAACGACAAGACATATAAAGGTTAGGTAATAGTTTTATTTACATTTATAACATATTTCACTGCAAAACAAGACAAATGCACTAGGGGAAATAATTAGGAGATATATTAAGAAAAAATATGCTTCAGTTATTGCCTAGTTACATAAGATTAAAAGAACAATTTTGATGTCTTTCCAATGAATATATTTTCCAATTCCTGGAATTCCAATCATTCTTACTCCATGGGGGAAAAGTAGAAGACCAATTTCTAGCTAATGACAAGATAAGAGATCAAAAGATAGTATTAATCTTAAGATCTTGGTGTTATATTTAAAATTCTAATCTTAAGATAGTAGGTGTTACATTTAAAATTCTGATTCCTGAAATACGTGGTTAATAGAAGCCAGATCCACAAGTAGGTTGGAAAGAGTAGACTGGAAACTTCTAGAAGAGAAGTAGGTTGGACTGTAAAAGTTGGACACACAACTTAGGGAGGAGAAAGTACGGGGTCCATAGCCCACTGATTGAAAACCAGTAGATCCAAGGCCCAGAGATGGGGAGCCACAGCCAAAAGACTGGAAGCCCCTGGACCCAAATCCCAGAGATCCTGAGAGAGTTGTTTGGCAATTATTGCCCAGGGTGGAGATCTTCGGGAGGTAGCAGGACGTCTGGCAAGGTCTGGACACCACGCAGGACCTCTGGGAGCTGATAGCCTCAGAGGAGGTCTCCTGACACCCACTGTGGAGAGGGGAGTCCAGCTGTAAGGTGATGGGAGCTTGGAGATCAGTGCTGTAGACCAGGTTGTTGGGGTAGGAAGAGCCACAGGAGGAGCCTGGGTACTGCAGGTAGCCCCCAACGGAGCGGGAGGAGAAGTTTCCAGAGGAGCAGCTGTAGGACATGTTGACAGGAGAAAGGAATTAGAGGTCAATGTTCTGAATGAGTTTGGTGTCACTCCTTGGACTAGAGCATTTATATACCCATACCCTTGGGTGCGTCACCCCCGTGACCCATGAAAATGAGTTATTCGCTGCTTTTATTTGAATTGAAAAGATCATCATAGTCATCCATATGTAGTTTTTGTGGTTTTACAACAGGAAAGCACGGTAATGTTTGTGACTGGAATTCAAGTAATATTGTTGAATCTTCAAAGCCATTATTCATCTTCCCTTAGCAGAGGCCACCTTTAGATCACTCAGAGAACTGCTGTGCAGGTAGGCAGTGCCTGGGCTGAGGGAAGCTGCCTAATTAAAAGTAATTGATACTAGTTTCACAATCTGCTTCAAAATCGTTGCCATCTGGCTAGCAAAGTTGTTAACTGATCTAGTCATAGTTGCTTCTTTTAAACAAACAAATGAAAAAAAATACACTGATTTTTGCTGCAACGTGGCAAACTTACTAAGTGAATAGCATCACCAGAAAGCAGCAGTATTCATATGCAAGGTATATATACGTTTCTATGTTAACTGGTCCACAATATAAATGACTTTCATGAAAACTTTTCTGAGAGACATTTTAAAAATTTTCTGTGCCAATATTTAAAACTATACATGGATTTTTAAGTGCCCATCTTAGCGATGCTTTGGGTCTTTCCTGTACTGTGAGCTAAATACTATCAATTGTTTTACGCTACTTTGAAATGTTGGAGATTATTCATCTAACATATTGAAAAAGCCCAAAACAAATAAAAAGAAGAAAACACATGGCAAAAGTCCACAATGAATTTCTGTCTCTAAATAGTGTTTCCTACCAGAAGAATTCCCCAGCACTTGGAAGATATTCTTGTTCTAAGAAAATGTGTAGAATAAATGTCTTGAAGTGTTGAGCCAAAGGAGCCATTTTAAGGAGACTTCTTCTGCCTCAGAAAACAATGTACATCTCTTTGACTTAAGTCGTTTTCTGGTGCTTCTGAAAAGTGTTACAAATTTTCTAAAATGAGGATCATATTTTTTATTATTCCAAGACGTGCGCTTCACCTCTGTGTAATAAGGTAATGAAGATGCCTGCGGGGAGAACGGAGACTGAGGTTTACCTTGCTGTAGCCTCTATGCTGTTTGATTTGTTTGTATCATAGAAAAGCATCCTCTTTCTACTCTGAGCAAAAGTGTTTGATGTAAAAGCATCCATTTTCTTTTTTTGAGAAAAGAATGCTCATAGTTACATAATATCGGATCTCATAGAATATTTTTCCAGCAAGATGTTTTACATAAGAAGAGGTGGCATTGAAACAAGCAAGAAAATTCAATTTAACTGAATTAAATATTCACGTGGAGGTTGATTTTCAATATTTTATTGACAAATAAAACAAGAAGGTTTGAAAACTGCTAGAATGCTTCTTGCTGTTTATAATTAAGAGCCCTAATAAACAAGAATTGTTTATTTTAGAAATAGAGGACAAACTGTGTTACCTAACAAATGAAACATGATTGGAGAACAGTTTCCTCAAGTCAAAATGTTCAGGTTCATTTCTTCCTATTTCAAATTATCAATTATTCCTTTTAATCCTTATTTACATGCCCAGAAGTCAGGACCAAGGTTAAATATAAAACAGGGGATGAAATGTGGACTATTGATTTTTAAGTGATTAATGCCTGATAATACTAGAAGAGAATTATACCAGTCTCTTATAAATAAAATAGAACTGCATGAAATAAAAATGTTCAGGTTCATAAAATCAACAATTTGAAAGAGAGTTCGGCAAAGATCTCTAGTTTTGAACCTGATTGGAGTCTCACTTACATCTTCCTCATCAACTATTTCCAGTACCCTGGATGGAAATCTTATTATCTACCAAAGCAGGTCATTTTAGATTTTCCTTAAATCTTCTACTTAATAATCTTAATTCTTCATAGAATGAGTCTTGACTTATTTTCATTATACAATTTGTTAAGTTTTGAAGATGGAGACCTCAAGAATGTTGTCTGTTCTCAAGTTTTTAAGCCATTCCTTAAAGTCATACACTACCTCTACTTATGTTTGCTAAGAAAAACTTTATAGCAAAACCCTCATACCACTTAGTCCTTTATGAAGAATGTGTATGTCACTTGATAAATGTACCACATCAGATATCTCAAGGGTATTCATTCTCTATTTCACATTACCATCTGTTTTAATATCCTTTCTCACTCACATTTAATTTATATCATTTGTATCTGTGGATTCTTCAGATCCTATTCTTCCATACTTTCTGTAAATGCATATTACTTTATCCTCCATAATATCAATGCCATCAAAAAGTACTGAAACTTTATGGAGAATATTTTATATTCAAGTTTACTGAACTTGTTGCTGATATTTTTAAAGGATCCAACTTGGAGGATTTTATTTAAATTTTTTATTTTTATCAGTACATGTTTGCTGGAACTAATGATTACCTTCATCAAGAAAGTAGGATGATGGAGATGGATATGAAGCTCTGTGTCAGAGCTCTTACTAAGCATGCACAAGACACTGGATTCCCCACCAGGGAAACACAAAAAGAAGAAAGCAAGTGGAGTTCAGAGAAAAGATTTACAATGTTATCTTCAAAGCACTCACACTTCAAACTTTGGATCATTCATTCTTAAAAACATACACAAAATTAATTGAACTATTTGTGCTATAAGGAAACAAAAATCAAACTTACTATCCACTCATTTAGAATTTCTATCAATTAAGTTGTGGTTTCTTTTGTAAAATGTGCAAGATTTGGGAGAAGGAAAATATAATGAGAATTTATTTTTTGTATTCAATTGGGTTCCTAAACTTAGAGTGATGTAACTACCTCCTTCAAGGTACATGTTAGAGCTTTAGACACAAAAGATTTCTTAAAGTGTGGTCCATCTGATCTAATATCTTAAAGGAAAGAATGAAGAAAGCTTCAATCATACAATTACAATTATGGTACTTTTCATTCTACTCAAGGTAGATTACTGAGATAGGCATTTTTTTCCATGAACAATTGCTTTGAAAAACTAATTTAATTTAAAAGTCTGCATTCATAAAAAAGTTCTTTGAAGTTTAATGTATTTTAGTTTTACTGCAGCCTAATTAAGATGACCATATGTGATTATACCCATTTCTAGGGTATGTAAGTACCCAACAGGGAAGGTATCAGTCATACTCACAAACTACATGCCAGCTGAACTCAGAAGTCCTGACAACATGTCTTACAACTTTAGCTCTGGAAATTTCTCCTCGCAATCCTTTGGAGGCTTCCTGAGGCCCACAGTTTCTGCCTACAATTCTGTCTACCCCACAAATGTAATAATTCCTCTGAAGACCTACCAGCTGGGCTCCTCCATCTACAGTGGACAACAGGAAAGCTTTTGTGAGCCCATTGGCAACCAGACGTCCTGTACTGGGACCAGATCCTTCCAAACATCCTGCTTCCACCCAAGTAATTCCATCTCCTTCAGACCTTGCCAGACAAATTACACTGGATCTCTTGGATATGGCAACACTGGACTTGCACCTTTTGGTCATGGCAACACTGTCTTTGGATGTTGTGGTCATAGAAACACTGGCTTCCGGTATTTGGGAAATGGATCCAGCTTCTACCGCCCATCTTATTTTTCTACTAGAAGTTTCCAGTGAACTAGTTTCCAAACATCAGCCTTTGGCTCTCACTTTTTTGGATCCACTTACTGAATATTTTCCACCTTCTTGAGCTCACCTCTGCACCTGAAGGAACTTTATCCTTTTGTTTGCCCAATATCTAGAATTTAATTCTTATACCAATGCTTGAAATCACTTCTGTTACCATCACTCTAAAATTTTTCGGTCATTCTTCCCTTTTCACTCACATGTATTTTAAATAAACTTTTTCTGTAATATGAATTCTGGCTTTCTATTTTCCTTTATGAATAAGACACAGTTATTGACTACATCCCACAATTTTAACTGTCTTCAGTTTTGTTTTTTTCTGCTTCATATAGTTAATTAGTGTTGTGTTGGACAGAAAACAAGAACTTTAGAAAGAAATTACAATATATTGCATATCTCATACATCTTATCTTGAGAGACTTTTATCCCTTAATGAGGACATTCACACACATTATTGTTTCAGAGATTTTTCTTTCCAGTGAAGGAATTCATTTTAATTTAAATAGAGTTCATATTAATAATATTTGATATAGAAAATGGCTGTATCTATAACTATATAACTGAGTTTAAAAGGGGAAAGAGAAATAGAGTTAAGTAGGTTTTCCAAGAAAAATGTATGAAAACAATAATAAGCCAGCTATCTATAGTCATGTCAGAGGACACTAAACATCCTACCTAGCCTCTGAGTCCCCTCTATTTGTAACTTAGTCTTATAAATCCAGAAAATACTTTTTTGAAAGTAAAAACATTTTAATTTAAATAGAGTTCATAGTAATGATATTTGATATAGAAAATGGCTGTATATGTAACAATAACCATATATAGAAATATCTTTGAGTCCTGATGGGGGAATGGAAAAACTAAATAAATCCTAGTTCCTCATGACAAAATGTATGCAACACTGAGATTAAAGACTAATTTTAAATGAATATAATGGATTTTCAACTGACCACATAGTTATAGCAGCCTGGTGCCATGACTTTTAACTATTTAGAATCTGTCATTATAGACCTTCTTTAATTGTTTCAATGTGCAGAATATTCTAAGCAAGATATGTGGAAGAGCAAACTGTAAATGTTGCACATTTGTAATCTTTATATTGATTCTTTTTGTGTCCCTTCTAATGTAAAATTCAACTAACAAGTCAATATTAAAATAGTTAGAAGTTGCTAACTTAGTAGATATGAAAATGTGGCAGGTAGATGGGCATGTTGAGAGCCCATTGCATTTCATACATGCAAGCCTCCTTTGCCTTTGTGTGTAGACAGCAACATTTAAGCAGAACCGTCTTCTACTGCATCACCTGTCGTCACTTCTCTACATATTTTATTGATTACCATTATTCTTCCTTTTGTTCTCCATGATCTCCAATAAGTATTTTATTTTATTTATTTATTTCTTAAATTCTTTTATTGGTACATTTTAGGTATACAATACATTTACATTTATCATTGGGAGTTTGTACCTGTGCATGATGTATCTTGGTTCTTATTTTTTCCCTATTACCTATGCGCCCTTCACCCCCTCCACCCTTCCCTATTTACATAGACATCATTTCCATTTTTTTTTCTTTTCTCATAGTTTTTCCTTTCCCTCCTTTCCTTTCCTCTTCCCCTCCCTTCACCCCTAAGTATTTTAGATACTCCATCCTGTGTGCTCTTAGATGTTTTAGGAATATTTTTGAGCATTCATTTTACTTTTTACTGGGATATATAAAGTTAGTTGTGAAAATGCAATCAATTATTAATTGGCACAACTCACAACTGCATAATGTGTTCACCTTTTTTTAAAAACTTGATATTTAATTTTTAAATTTTAAATATTCAAAAACTTTCAATAAGAAAAATAGTTATTACCATAAGATCGTGGCAGTACACAATTATCAGGATAAATGATCTTTTATTTACTTCTTTTCAATTTTGTCTATGAGAGAAATGGAGTATAAGAGAGTTTTGAAAGCAGACCTGAGTTTGCAATATGCAGCAGCCTTTGTGTGACACTGGATAGGTTAACTTTATGTCAGATGTCTATACAAAAATAAACACATAAAAATATAAATAAATAGAGAGATTTACTACTTGACTCAAATCTTTCTGTTACTTTACAAATTGTAAAAATTGCTATAATGTTCATTTTGTTAAAGAAATAAATCTCGCAACATGTGGACTTTTGCTTTCAAAAATAATATAAAGGGGAATAAAACAGTGATTCCAATATTCATAATTAAATTCTATTCTGATGTACAATGGACTTATTTTAATATTGCGATCTTATTTTTACCCAGCAAACAAAAAGAACATAATTTGGTACAAGAGGGCACACATTATCGCACATGTCCCTTACCCCTTTGTACACAAATATGCTTGAAACTATCTCTGAGAAATATCTGTGTCTTCTGAAATGCAGTATTCTCCTCCTCTCTCTGTTTCACCTACACAAGCTGTCTCTGGCCACCAGAAAGTAGCATATGGTAATCATGACCAGTGGGCCACACAATAAGCTCTAGACCAGAAACACTGATGAACAAGGTATTGACATCTTGTCAATCAGGACAACTTTCAGGATAAAGTATATTGAGTTATTTTTCTACATTTAATAAATAGTCCATATCTAAGGCCATGTTTTTCTTTAGAAGAATCACTTGCTAATATGTTGTTGAATGATAATCTGCAGGTACTGAATTATGAAGAAGATACAATCCTCCGTTGAGGGTATCATTTAAACAAGTTGTCAAGAGTTGGAAAATAGGATGTAGCACTCAAACAATAAAACATTTCATATGCCTTTGGGTCCAGGATTACACAAAATAAAGCATGAACAAAGTGGATTGTAAATTTAACTAAAATGAAAATTTGCCTTAAAAATCAAATAAAAATTTTATTTAACAATCTGTCCCCTTCATAAGTATATTAAATTACATAATAGACTGAAATTGCAGTTATTCTTTGAAAGTTTCCAATGATCCACTCTTATGTAATATAATGTAAATATGTTAATGTGGCACCACAACTGAATTATACAAGATCAGTGTCTTTTTATCATGTACCCTGCAGTGCAGAACCTTCATACTTCCTCAGACATTGCTTTGCATGTTTGCTGTGATATTTTCATGTTTTCTTCCCTATGATATTATTCTGCCATTTAGATTTATTATTCTCTAGGCACTAAGTTGAGCTTTACATTTTCTGGTACATTTTTTCCCATTTCCATTGTTTTTCTCATAAGATTATATCAGTGGTTTAGATCCAGGTTCTCCAGAGAAACAAAACCTCTCAGAATTAATAGGAGATTATGTGTAGGAAGTGGGCTTATAGAGAAAGAGACAGAGAGATTTATTATCAGGAATTGGCTCATATGTTCATGGAAGCTGAGAAGTTCCTCAGTCAGCTATCTGTAAATTGGAGACTCAATCTGAAAAATAACTGACTCTTACTTCTTGGTCAATGAAGATCATTAGAGGGTATGATCTCAAGTGAGAAACATTTTATAACTGAGAAATTTTTCACAAAAATGTCACTATTCTTCTCTAATAGGAATTGAACAGGCCATTATAATGTAAACATGATCACAACTACTGTGTTCATGTTCAGAAGTGGAAATACCATTTGGCAAGTTAGTAGCTCATTATTATTTTAGATTTACCAAGCATAGACTTACTTTTTTAACAGGCATCCAAAATACCTCATTCACACATGCAGTATATTATATTGAATCTGTGCTATGCTATCTCTATCCCAATTGCTCAGTACTTAGGGCCAGGGTCCATAATTAAGAATTGTCCCACACAATTCATTCCTAGCATACTCATCCACAAGCAGAGTTTCTATATGGGGAATATTTTTGGATTGAAGTGATATTTGGCAGTATCTAGAAAGAACAGGGGATGCGGGATTCTATTGGCATCTAGTGATAAGAGGAAAGATGATGTAGCTAAAGATCTTATAATACACAGAACACCCTCAGTCCTAACAAAGAAATATCCAACCCAAGTGCTCAGGATTCCAATATCTATGGAAACTACTAAGAAACCAAATAGTTGGTTAAAGTGCAGGAAATGAAGCAGAAAATTTGAGAATGATGAAAGAAGAGTATGACAAAAAGAGAGTAAAGAAATTAAATAAAACCAGAAATGGGATGGCCAGAAAGAGCAAAAGTTGGGAATTGAATTTAAAAAAAAATTGAAAACAAATCTCTAGACATCACCCTGTTCTCTTATGACTTGTTTAACGCTGGGATGTGTTTAAAGCTGTGTTCTTAACAGGGACTAGATGGGGACTCATTGACAGGAGACGTTACGGGCTTTTGAATATGGTAGAACTCCTAATGACATTTTAGTTACTCTAGAGAGCAATAGTCTAAGAAAATATGTGAGAAATCTCTTACAAAAGTAGCACATACATATCTAAATAAAAGATATAAATCTATGAAAATCATTTTGCGGATTGATAGATTATCCACAAATTAATTTCTCTAATTTTCATTTTCAAAAATTCCTTCAATAATTTAAAATATTTTTATGAAATAATTTTTTTCTAGAAAATGGAGACTGATGGTGAATTCTGTGTGTCAACTTGACTGAACATGGTCCAGTTATTTGATCAAATGCTAATCTTTATGTTGTTTTGAAGGCATTTTGTAGATGTGCTTCAAATGTAAAAATCAGTTGGGTTTAAGTAAAAGAGATTGCCCTTGGTAATGGGTATGTGACTCAATTAATCAGTTAAGTAGACCTAAAGAGGAAAGCAGATTTTTCAGAAAGGAAAAAATATTGCTTCAAGTATATAACAGAAATTCTGCTTAAGTTTTCAGTCTAACAGCCTCTAAAATCATGTCAGTTGATTTTTAAAAATTCTTCTCATGCATGAGAGAGATGGAGAGAGACAGAGACAGACAGAGTCAGAGAGACAGAGACAGAGAGACAGACATAGATATCTCTCCATGCAAAAGACTCCATTAAGGAAAGAGCCAGTATTCAGTAGCATTTGATATCT